TTTATTTTTTTTATTTTGAAAAGCTAGACAAAACCGTAAAAAGCACATTTTGGCTATTTAATTTATGCAATGGTGAAAAAAAAAATTGGCAATTTATGGGGAGAAAAGCCGTATTCGGCCTTCGGCCCTGTAGCTTCAGCCAAGAATTTTCATTTCGGTGTATCCCTAATTGTCATAATATATTATAATTCTTGACTGACTTCTGTTAGTGTACTTATACTATTTTATATACAAGTACACTTAACAAGTATATCAAATATTTAATATTAGTCTGGCGAGTAAACTAAAAAAAATGTACTAGCCAATGGTGATTCTATTGCCATGGTGTCCGTAGAGGGTTGTGAAGATCTGAAGACTCAGAGGAAACCCACACTAACTTTCTAGTGTTAAGTTGGAGTGTTTGATTAAAGTTTTTCATAATCTCTATTGTGTCTCTCTCTCACTCAGCTGCGTGTTGAGCGGTTGGCTGAGGAGAAAGCCAAGAGGAAGGTTGCCACTAAACGACAGGAAGAGCTGGAGCTCCGCAAGAAACAGGAGGAGGCAGCCAGACAAAAGAAACTTCAGCAAGTTGTAAGTCAACCTCAGCAATCAAAGTGGGGAGCCCATGTTGAAAGAAATGTATGTGTAGGTGATGGATGACCTCAAATAATGAAAGTGTACTTCACAAACAAATTGTGTATTTATTCTTTTGCAACTTTCCTTTTCGATCCAATAGCAAATAATATCAAGCTTAATATGATAGATTTTTATATATCGATTTGTTTCTTATGCTCATCAATGCTGCATTTATTTGATCTATATAGTGAGCAGTAATATTCTGAAATATTATTACAATTTAAAATTGTTTTCTGTTTGAATATATTTTCAAATATATTTAATTCCTTTGCTGAAAAGCTGAGTTTTCAGCATCATTACTCCAGTCTTAAATGTCACATGATCCTTCAGAAATCATCATAAGATGTTGATTTGCTGCTCAAGAAACATTTATGATTATCAAAGTTGAAAACAGTTGTGCTGCTTCATATTTTTGTTTTTAAAAAAAGTTTAGGTGTTTTTCAGTGTTCTTTGAATAGAACGTTTAAAAGAACAGCATTTATTTGAAATAGAAATGTTACTATGATTATAAATGTTTTACTGTCACATTGGATCAATTTAGTGCATGCATAAAAGTGAAATTATATATTTTTTTAATTATCCCAAACTTGTATAATTTATTAATTTTATTTTTTGTAGCTAATTATAGTTAACTATTTATATACTTGTCTTTTTCTTCAGGAGGAAGAGGAGCGGCGGCACCAGGAGATTCTGGCCAAACGCAAGGCTGAAGAGGAGCGAGAGAAGGTCCGCAAACTGGCCGAGGCCACACGTGCTCTGGAGCTGAAGAAGGAACAAGAGCGGGAGAAAGAGAGGGAGCGCGAACGAGAGCGGGAAAGAGAACGCGATAGGGAGCGAGAAAGACAGGCTGTAGCTGAGAAGTTGGTGTTCATTTTTCGTGCACTTGTTTGAAATGAAAGCATGACATTCAGAGTTACTAAATACACATGTTCATGTCTTTGCAGAGAAAGACTGGAGCGAGAGAAGGCTATTGCTCTTCAGAAGGAACTGGAGAGAGCAGCCAGAGAGAAAGAGAGGAGGGAGATGGAGGAGAAGAGGAAGATGGTAAGGATTTTGTTGTTTGTTGTCCTAATGACTTTTCTGTTATTTTTGTCATAATCGGCATGCAACAAGATGTTGATGGTTGGTTTTTATATTTCTATCATGTGGAACACCACTGGTCCAAAATCAAGTTTCGCATAACATCTGATGCCCACCGCCCCCCAATAAGGACACTGAAGATGTGTAGCACCTGCTTAGGACACTTGTTACATAACAATCCCATAATCTCATCAAATTTGTTCCTTTAACAGGAAGAGCAACGGAAGGCTGAAGAGGAGAAGGAAGCCCAACAGAAACGTGCGGCTGCAGCCTCCGCCCCGGCGCCCCCTACAGTTACAGCACAGGTAATTACCAACAGCTAAAGTCAATTATCCTTGTTTTTTAGTATTATTTATTATATTCTCCTATCCACCTTTTTCTTTAATGTGGAAGTAAGCCTATGGGCGAGACTTCGAGATCATTAACCGCTATAGGTAAATGACGACAAGAATAACAACGTGCAGTAAACGGTAAAACTGTTTGCACCACAAACCAGTGTGTTCATAATTAAGATAATACATTAAAATAATATGGTAAGATACCAATTTTCAATATCAAGCATCAAAACGAACCGTTTTGTACAGCTAAAAATAGCTGGACGCGAATGAGACCAGAAGCTAGACCCATAGAATTTACAAATGGCCACGCCCATTTTTACGGTGTATAGTATTTAGTAATTTTGAATTAGCTTTTACATGTACTTTAAGTTTATTTTATATGCATTTGTCCTTTTTATTAGTTAATGTGTGTGTGTGTGTGTGTGTAATTTTTCTTTATTCTTTTTTTTTTTTTTTTAGTAACTTATTTTAATGTAGTAATTTTTAGGGCTGGGTTATATGGTGCATATATTTAGCAAAATGCCCCTCTCTACAGTTTATTTTTCTATCTGACTAATGAGTTTATGGTCACCATATGTTTTTTCTGAGGTAAATGTGACGTTACGTGACTCATTGTTTACAAGCCGTTATATTGACGTCTTTGTGCGGCTGAAACACTGATTGAGCAAATACATGAGACAGGATATGGATTGTAAAGTTGTACTCTTTGTTTTAACTTTCCTTCGGATGTTTAGTCATGTTTATTTTGTGCTGAAACTGGTATTAATGTGGAGGAGATGATCAGTTCATGTGCGCCTTGCTGTTGAACTGAGGTGCTACAGCGATCTGTCACTAAACATTAAACAGCGCCAAAACGGCATTTATGAACATAATTTGAAATCTGAGACTTTGTTTCATATTAAAAGTACCAAAGCACAATGCTTATTGCGATATATTCTATTGGAAGTGCCCTTCAACGTTCCGTCCAATAACTGAAAGCAGGCTAGAATAATCAATTCTTGGGGTTTAAGAATCAATATTGTTCCGTAATAGATTAATATCGAGATATCTATATTTTTTTTTTAGTTGAAGTAATTTTACCACTTCAACTAACTTAATTCAGTTAGTTGCTAAATCCACATTTATCGTTTTACTTTATTCATCTAATATTTATATTTGGTTCATATTTTTAGCTAACGATGTCAACACTGGCTTTGTAGGCAGCGTTTTGTGGAAAAATAATAAAACTAAATTTAAAAATTTGTGTGTACAGTGGGGAAAATATTTATTTGATCCCCTGCTGATTTTGTAAGTTTGCCCACTTACAAAGAAATGAAGGGTCTGTAATTTTTATGGTAGGTTTATTTTAACGGATAGAGACCGAATACCATCAAGCAAAACATTGGTAACACTACGCCGCAATGGACTAAAATCCTGCTCAAGAAGGCACATGTACAGGCCTGTTTAAAATTTGCCAGTGAACATTTAAATGATTCGTAGAAGGCTTGTGAGAAAGTGCTGTGGTCAGATGAGACCAAAATTGAGCTCTTTGGCATTAAAGGGGTCATATGATGCGATTTCAGTTTTTCCTTTCTCTTTGGAGTGTTACAAGCTCTTGGTGCATAAAGAAGATCTGTAAAGTTGCAAAGACTAAAGTCTCAAATCCAAAGAGATATTCTTTATAAAAGTTAAGAGTCGATTCAAACGCGAGTTTTTTGAGCAGTGTAGAGTAGCATTTGTTGTTTGTCATTTCTCAGAACACAAATGCAGACATGGTTTTATGTTTACGTGGCGTGATGCAATGCGTAAAAAGACAGTATAAGTCATTATAATCAGTAATTATGTCCCCACTGGATGCAACAAATGCCTCGTTTATAATGGGTTTTAATGTTTTTGTCTCGTCGCTCCGGCCGGACAGGGCATCATCACATGTGACCCTGGACCACAAAAGCAGTCTTAAGTCGCTGGGGTATATTTGTAGCAATAGCCAAAAATGCATTGTATGAGTCAAAATTATTGATTTTTCTTTTATACCAAAAACCTTTAGGATATTAAGTAAAGATCATGTTCCATGAAGATATTTTGTACATTTCCTACTGTAAATATATTTAAACTTAATTTGTGATTAGTAATATGCATTGCTAAGAACTTAATTTGGACAATTTTAAAGGCGATTTTCTCAATATTTAGATTTTTTTTTGCACCCTCAGATTCCAGATATTCAAATAGTTGTATCTCTGCCAAATATTGTCATATCCTAACAAAAATACATCACTGGACAGCTTATTTATTCAGCTTTCAGATGATGTATCAATATGTATTTCGAAAAATTGACCCTTATGACTGGTTTTGGGGTCCAGGGTCACAAATTTCATGGAGAAAAAATGTAACGTAACTAGTAACAACTAATTACTAATTACTTTTTAAATAAAGTAATCAGAACAGTACTGTGATTACTTTTAAAAGGAGTAATCAGTAATTTGATTGTTTTCAGAGTAACTTGCCCAACACCGCTCCTGAGATGTGTGCAAACCTGGTGACCAACTACAAAAAAACGTCTTACCTCTGTGCTTGCCAACAAGGGTTTCTGCACCAAGTACTAAGTCATGTTTTTGTTGGGGATCAAATACTTATTTCACTCACTGAAATGCAAATCAATTTCTAACCTTTTTTCGGGATTGTTTTGGTTTGTATGGTCTCTATACGTTAAAATAAACCCATTATTATTCATGCATGCGTTTTATTTATAATTTATATTTGGTACTTTCCAAATCCATTTGAAATGTTTTTGTAAAATTAACAGGTCTCGGTCGCAGAAACACAAGCAGCTAACATGCTCAACACAACTATAACTAAGAGTTCAGCACTAAAAAAGACTAGATATTGAAGTAAACACACCTATGCTTTCTTTTTGTTCATTTTTGTTGTACTAAATGCTAAGCATTTAATAAATATACATCTAAGTATTTACTAAAGCTTTTATTCCATCCACAGAACTCCATTCTAAATACTCCAGTTGGGAAAGTAGCTGCTCACAATAAGACCATAGATTTTGGACCTGGACTCAACGTGACCGTGGACATTGAGGTGAGGTCACGGCAACGATTATGTGTCTTTTTCCCCTGCTGAAGGAGGGAATGTGTCGTATAGCATTACTAAGCACAGAATAGTTCCCAGAGAAGCAAAGCAATGAAGACTTAAATTTCCAGTTGGATTTTTTTCCTTGTAATATAAGCCAATGAGTTCTTCTAACTTGAGTTTTTTTTTTGTTTGCTTCGAAACGCATAAACCAACTCAATGTCTGGAACAGCTGATTTCTGACCCCATCTCTTGTTTTATACTTCACAGAAATCTCCACAATCATACCAAATCACCCCAAAGGGCCAGAAAGTGACTGTTTTAGTGAATCCTGAAGATTATGGCATGGACCAGAACAGCGATGACTCAACAGATGATGAATCTGCGCCCAGAAAACCCATCCCATCCTGGGCTGAGGGTATGTTTATTTGTAGTTACGGTTTACGTTATGTTCCATCTGTGCACTGTAGGGGTATGCAATGGTCCAAATGGTTTTCACCGAATTCTGATTTAAGAATTTTTGGATATACCGTCATAACTCTGTGCATGTTTATTTTAAAGTATGTACTGTATTCTCCTAATGTGACGTGTTTTGTGCAGGTATGCAGTTGCAGCAAGCCATCATGAAGCAATATTACAATCCACTGGATCTCCATTCATATTTTGGAGAACCTGAACCACCCAAACTGGAGGCGATCTTCAGGCGGACAAAACCTCGCTTCTTTAAACGCACGAGCTCTGCCGTCTGGCATTCTCCACCACGTTTGGGAAATCTGGGCAATTAATAAGCAGATGTATGTTTTTGTTTTTTCCCTACTTGTGTTCTGTCGTCTTTTTTATGTTGTCTTTTTTACTTTTGAGCTCACTTCAATAAAGCTTTTAGAAATCTGTATGCAAGTAGGTTAGACTGGAAAAAAAAAAAGAGCAGAATGTGTAATATAGATTACACAAAAGGTGATAGGGTTTGACGCTCTGTTTAATTTACCTGCTGTTTTTTAAAAATGGGACTACCTTGTCACAAATGTATTTAAATGTAGCATCACATGTTATAAATTTGGAAGTGTATTCCATTTTAAATTTGGAAGTGTACACGGGAGCTGCTACATATAGAAAATATGGGGATGGCGTTTGCCTACAAAATTCATTTCACGAAGAGCGTCAGATTTACTCTGGACTGTTAATAAAAGGTATCATTTCGAAGTGAGTGTGTGTGTGTAATGTCTCTTATTTATTGTAGTTTGTCATGGATGTGATTTGAAAAGTCAGAAAATTAAATCTGGGTGCATCTGTTATGATTCTTTGACTAAAAAAAAAAAAACTTAAGGGAAATTGAAAATCATAAATTGAAATTGTAGCATGTTCTAATTTCTTTGGTCATTCGTGTGTGTCACAGTGCCATTTGAGTTTGCTGTAATTTAGGGAAGTATTTTTCTAGTATAGGAAGTTTCTTAAACTTTAAGGAATGTGCTCTTGTCAAACTTTGCCACAACTTTGTTTCTAACTTGATCACTTACACAATGGCAGGAAACGATAATCGGATGGAAATAAAGAGCCACTTAGCCTTTTTGAGATCGACTGCTAGCTTACATTATAAAATCATCTTTTAAGTAGGCCTATATTTTCAAATATTAAACAGATTTCTGTGATTTTATGTAACCCGATAGAATGGAGTGTGACAGACAACATTATACCACATTAAAAACATGAAACGCTTGTAATATTTCTAATTAAACTAGTTCATTTGATAGAAAAAAAGCTGAATTTGTCACATTCTCTCAAACTGGATTAGACTTAAAATTCTCTGTATTTTCACTAGGTGATGATAAACTCGTTTTCTATCTTGAAAAGTGTGAAGTCAACCCTAAAAGGGGCAACCTATCCAGGGGTATACAAACATTTGAGACGCTGTGGGGAGAAGCAGTGAAAGTGTAGGTCTTATTTCTTGGTTTAATTTTGAAAGGGTGTTTGTTGTGAACATTTCTATGAGGTGACTTTTGTTTCTACATTCTTTGCTTAGCTCACAGGAAGCATTTAAAACTGCATGGCCGCCTGTAGTAGGAAATCTGCTCGCCCTCCGATAAAAGTTGATCTAGTTCACATTAGTGTTGTCACAATACCGAAATTTTGACTTCGATACGATACCTGACTAAAATATCTCGATACTACTACTGAACCGATACTACGACAAAAACATAGAACATGTTAACAACAGGAATTAAATAATAGATGATCCAAATGGAGGTTATAGATATTTTATCTATAAAAAAAAAAAAAAAAGCATTTCATTCCCCTTTAAAAAAAAAAAAGATTAAATAAAAATCACATGCCAGTGCCACTACTCAGGACTATTGGTAGCAACTACCGAGCCTACAGATATAGAGATCTTTGCAACATGGGTAAGTTAGCTAAAAGGAAAAAGCCAAATCTTATTAGATGATATAGTCATTTTATTTCACAATAATTTATAGCGTGATAGTTATTTTTGTTATTTTATCTTACAACATACTGTAGACGCAAGTAACAAACTAAAGGACAAATACAGTAAAACAAAGACACAAATTAAATAAATAGGGCCCTATGAAATCCGTTTTATTTCTTCCCTATTTTTTCCAAATTCTGTTCTTTATTTTCAGTTTTAATTTTTCTGGATTGCTTTTTCCCCCCCGCTTTTAATTTTTCCAGACTCTATTTTAATGGTTACATTAAAAATATTAATCAAAAAGCATGTCTAATTAATTGAAATCATGAAACTTACACAATTTAACTGCAATTTCTTAAAAGTTTAACAAAAATCAAATTTTGTATTATTTTTCTGTGAATCTGTTTTCCATTAAGTTTGTGGATTCCATTTTAATAGTTTCATTATATTTTAATAATCAAAAGCATGTCTAATTAATTTATAAAGATTAATTCGATTTTATAAGTAATTTATTATATTATTTATTTCTATGGTAAATATTCCTTAAATATTGTTTTAATAATATTTTTATTAGTAGTAGTAGCACTGTCATTACATTAAATAATATTTATGTCAAGTTAACCCGAACTTTTACTTTGACGGGTTGCTGTGACCTTTACGTTTCTGTTTGTATGTGATATGACTATAGTTCCCTCTCAGGTTCACTTCAATGCTGCTATGATGTCATCGCTATGGGAACACCTCCGGTGTGATGAATGTCTGAAGCCCTTATACCATTACGCCAATTCATTGGCCAATTAGCGCTTAGCACCGCCCCCGACGCGTACGTACGTAAGCTATATAGCATGCAGCGTGATTTGGCCAATTAATTTCCTTCAGGAAGCGAATCATCTGTCGCCTGTAGGAAAGCGGTTTTTGTCGTGTTCTCAGCTATTTTTCCTTCAAAGAGCAGTTTACTCCTCTTCAGCGGACACGATGAGCTACAGGAGATGCGTCGAGCCGTGTGACAGGTTTATCGCAGGAGGAGACACTCATAACAGGTGCGTGCAATGTTTGGGCCTACTACACGCTCAAGCGGCGCTTAGCAGCCTTTCTGACTGTCGACACTGCGATAGCCTGTGGCTAAAAGTATTGCGCTCGAGGCTCGCGGTCTTCTCTAAGAAAGTAGGTCTCGCGTCTAATCCCCGCCATCCCGTTTC